ACGAGTTGCTGAGGTTGAGGCCCGCCCCCGCCTCCAGGTACAGGTTGACGAGGAGAAAGCCACCGTCGCACACGCCCGACACCCAATGCACATGAACCCTGCCGTCCACGACCACCGCAGCCTGGTGATCCTGGACCTCCGCCATCCCATGGCAGCGCCGCGCCATGGTGATGAGCCCTCCTGCGCTGAGCCCTCCTGACTCAGCTCGCACTGCTGGCGAACTCCTCGCCCGCCATCCTCGGCTACGGAGCTCAGCCTCAACATCTCCACTCCGTCCCTCCAGCAGCCTGGTCGCCTGCGCCAGGATGGCGTCGCAGTCCTGCACCTCCTGCACCATCAAGCACTTGCCCAGGCTGCTGAACTTGTTGACACTGACGGTGCAGATGCGCCAGACGCCAAGCCCCTTGCTAGGACTCTGCGTCCATCTCTTCGTCCCCCGTGCGCATATTCGTGGCCTCGTTGATGAGGGCCTCTGCCGCCTCCCTCTTCTCAGGGTCCTCGAACTGCCCCTCAAAATCCTTCCAGGCCTGCTGCACCTCCGGGGAGGGCTGCTGAGGCTGAGGCACAGCCCCAGCAGACGGCCTCGCCGCAGCCCCTGCCCTCGCAGCTGCAGCGGCTGGTGGCTGCGCTGGGCCTGGCTCTCCAGACCCATCTCCTGCGGCCTTGCTCTTCCACTCGAACAGCCTCTCGACCGCCTCCGACAGCTTGACGAGCTCATCGCTGAGCCCTGGGCTTGCCGCCACTCCGCTGGACTTGGCCCAGCCCGCGAGCACCGCCTTGACCTCCTGGAGGGGTGCAGGGGCGGCAGGCGCTGCAGCAGCCGCCTCAGCTGCCACCGCGGCCTCCGCCAGCCTGGTACCCTGAGCCGCCAGCGCCTCACGCGCCTTGGCGGCTGCCTCAACCAGCTCCTGCCGCAGCTGCGCCAGCTTCTCCGTGAGGTCCGCCGTCTCGTTGATGGCCGCCCGCGCCTTCGCCTTGGCCTGCTCCAGCAAGTGCTCCGTCCGCTTGACCTTCTGCGCCTTCTCATCCGCCAGCAGCTGGGCCGCCTTGACGGCCTTGTCCCTGGACAGGTCGTCGCCCAGCCCCTCACGCACCAGGCGCCTGGCCTGCTGGAGCTCGTTCCTGACCTTCGCGCTGAAGAACTTGGCCGCGATGGCGAACTGCACGTCCGACATGTTGAAGAGCTCGCGACGCTCGTCGTCGCTGAGCACCACCCCCGCAGCACGCTCACTTCCGTCGCCGCCCTCGTCACCTCGCCACCACGGCGCAGGGGTCGCAGGCGCGCCAGCTGCGGCACGCCCGCCACGCCCGCCACCGCCAGCGCCAAGAGCACCGGCACCACCCGAAACCACCTGCGGGAAGAAGCTGCCCAGGACTCTCTGCGACGGCTTGCCTCCCTGGCGCCCAAAGCGGCAGCACCTGCGCTCGGCGAAGTTGTAGTAGCCGCGCGTCTGGCAGACCCATCCCACGGGTCCGTCTGGGCGTCCTCCTCCACGCCCCTGTCCCGCGCCGCCGTGCCCCATCGCGCGCGCGAAACAGGAGGAGTGGCGCTTGACTGCCAGAGCACAAAGACTCTTGCCTGCCGCGGACTAGCGGTATCCGTGCGATCCCCGCGGGAACCTGGCATCTTGAGCCAGATTGGCTACGGTGGGAGGGGGAGGAGGAGGAGGAGGAGGAGGAGGAGGAGGAGGAGGAGGAGGAGGAGGAGGAGGAGGAGGAGGAGGAGGAGGAGGAGGAGGAGGAGGAGGAGGAGGAGGAGGCGGAGGAGGAGGAGGAGGAGGAGGAGGAGGAGGAGGAGGAGGAGGAGGAGGAGGAGGAGGAGGAGGAGGAGGAGGGAGGAAGAGGAGGAGGAGGAGGAGGAGGAGGAGGAGGAGGAGGGGGAGGGGGGGAAGGGGGACATGGTTGGGGGAAGGTGCAGTCGCGCTTCATTTGACGTCCGTTCTCTCCCGCCAATCCTCTCCCATGGCGCTGATGTTCCATGATCCGCGGACGCGTGTCATAGCCGACCTGCGACTGCCACAGAAAGACCACTTCGTGGAATACGCAATCGCAGCAAAAAATAAGAAGCTGCGTGCACAGGAGGAGGAAGAGGAAACAGAGGAGGAATGTGAGCAGGAGGATGAACGTGAGGGGACGGATGAGGACGAACAGCAGCATCAGCAGCAGCAGCAACAATACCAAAAGCGGCAACACAGGAAGGACATGAGACCAGGGGGAGGCGGAGGAGGGGAAATGATGGGGGCGGCCACAATGAAGAAAAACTCTGATTTAGAAACATGGCCCTCGCTGGGGCGAGACAGACAGCAGCAGGCACGGGAGTGGAAGGAGCGGGGGGAACAGGAGGACCAGGGGAAGGCGGAGGAGAGGAAATCAGGGGGACAACAATGAAGCTAGACTCGGATCCAGACAAGGCGCCCGCTCGGGGACGAGAGCGCCATTCAGAACGACGGGAGCAAAGCGCCGATCCGAACAAAGCCCACGCTGCAGCGGGAGCACCATCACGAAATACCCGAGACAATCGGATACGTATGACACCATAAGGGGTAGCAGCGCTTGAAATCCTGCGCGCCAGCGAGACAGGACGCGGAGGGGGGCGGGCTACGGTTTTGTCATCTTGGGGGGGGGGAGAGGAGTGAAGTATTCATAATGGATAACTGTGGAGGGGTATGGGGGAAGGGAGAAGGCAAGCCCGGTGCGCTCGCGCCATATTTGACGTCTTACCCCTCTCTCCCATCCTTCACCATGGTGTATATTAGATCCCCACTCTATTCGCACAGTCGGATGTCGAATGGTCGCGAGAGGTTGCGCGATGCATCGTAGGGCACGGCATGGCATGGCGTAGAAGAGCACGGCGGGGCGTATAATGTCATTGCATGGCGTGGCATTGCGTAGTGAAACATTGCACCACAAAGCGTTGCAACGCAAAACATGGTATCGCACAGCGGCGCAAAACAAATCACCGCACAGCATGTCACGGCAGGGCGCCAGGTTCCTTGGAGGGTGATTGGATATCATCGGAAGGTCTGGGCCAATCTGGGGTCCCGGCTCCATGGGGTCCCCGAACAGCTCCCCACAAGGCGGGGCTGATGGAGAGCACCCGCTGGCTATGCTTGCAACGTTGTCTTCGGAAAACAAAAAACGGGGCTCCCGCTTGACACATCCTGCGGCCCAACTACTCAACGAATCGGCATCGGATGTGTAATCACTTGCGATGGCTTTTCTGGAAGTTCTTTTGTAGATTTGGGGCCACTTGGAAAGACCGAAAACGTCCGCCCTACAGCGGGAGCGCGTTTTGGAACAACCAGGAACGCAGAAACGAACCACCGCTGCATCGGGAACAACATTTTGAAGGACCGAGAGAAATCGGATTGTCAGAACACATTATGGAAACCAGGGAATGAAGCCAGCGCTGCAAAGGGAGCGCAAGTCGGAACGAGCGGAAGCGCAGAAATGATGCCAGCGCTGCAGAGGGAACGCGGTTCGGAACGAGTGGAAGCCCGAAAATGAGGCCAGCGCTGCAGGGAACAACAGTTAGAACAAAAAACAACCAAGCGAGAACCCAATTCCAAGGAATGCTGTAAAAAATTCGAGGGGGCGGGCGTAATTTGCCTGTCATATCGCAACACGTGCAAACATCATGCCAACTCTGAATGGAAGGATTCTTAAAGCAACTACATGTCAACACAAGTGAAACATACTCGGCATTATCTTGGTATTGGGATCCTCCTTTGGTCTCGGACTGAATATGCCCAACTATTCGGGCACCCCTGGTCCAGTTCGCCCTCAGCGTTTCGGCGTGTGGTTGGCCATCCTGTTCAAGACCTGCCACAACCAACCACACGGGGCAGGCCGACGCTGTCACGAACGACATCCCTGTTTCCTCTGGGACTCCTTCGTACACGCCGAAGTTGCCAGAATATGTCAAGCAAAGTTATTGGAACCTGCTGTTGTGGCCTTTCAAGAAGGGAAGGAACAACTGCCCCCTCTTTCGTGACACCGTCGGCACCTGGCGGACTGGCCGCAGGTGCCGCCTTCTTCCTTAAATGTCTGACCCCCCGCCCCCGTGACCAGAGCACTGACTGGAACACAGGACGGCGGAACCGACTTCACAGCAGGCATGCCGGAATCTCTCTGCAACACGCGCAAGCATGCTGGAATCTCTCTGGCTGATGGGAAAAAGGCTGCGCCGCCGAAGACGAGCTCCTGGAAAGCTTCGGCTGATGACCCGTAATTTGCCTGTCATATCACAACAAGTGCAACATCATGTCAACTCTGAATCGAAGGATTCTTAAAACAACTACATGTCAACACAACTGAAATATACTCGGCATTATCTTGGTATTGGGATCCTCCTTTGGTCTCGGACTGAATATGCCCAACTATTCGGGCACCCCTGGTCCAGTTCGCCCTCAGCGTTTCGGCGTGTGGTTGGTCATCCTCTTCAGGACCTGCCACAACCAACCACACGGGGCAGGCCGACGCTGTCACGAACGATATCCCTGTTTCCTCAGGGACTCCTTCGTACACACCAAAGTTGCCAGAATATGTCAAGCAAAGTTATTGAAACCTGCTGTTTTGGCCCTCGAAGAAGGGAGGGAACAACTGCGGGCCAGATATCTTCCGGACGTCATTCGGGGAGAGAGGGGACTAGTATTCATATTATGTAACTGTGGAGGGGGACAAGGGGAGGAAGGAAAGGTGGGAAGGGGGGAAGGGGAGGGTGGGAAGGGGAGGGCGGGAAGGGGAGGGGGATAGGGGAGGGTGGGTAGGAGGAAAAAAAACCCTCGACCTCCACCTCCCTCACCTTCCAGACGGTAGATGCCGCGCAGCGGCCGCCGCCAGCACGGCCGCATTGGCGGCCGCATCGGCGGTCTCGGCGGTCGCCGCGGCCGCTCCGGAAGGCACCTGCTGCGCGGAAGGTTTGGAAGGTGAAGGTCAATGGAAGAGAGGTGGGGAGGGAGGGTGGGGCAACATGCCAGGCAAACCAGCTTGCCAGAATCTCAACAAAAATATGCTCCTCCCGGGCCCAGCGCCAGCGCCGCGCGGCCCTTCGCCGCAGCCGCGGGCCTGGACGCCCCTAAAGCCTCGGCAACAGAGGCCTGTCGGACACACGCAGGAACGACCCGGCGCAACGGTGGCCCTTGGGGCGGCTCGATACATGAGGCCCCGAGGGACGGGGCCCGAGGGACGAGGTGCCTCAACCAATGTGGATCCAGCCTGAGATCCCTTTCTGAGATTGCGGCCCCGTCCCTCAGGGCCCCCAGCCCGAAGCCCGCCTCGCCGATCGTCGCCCGCGACGCGGCAGCAGCGGCCTGAGTGCGTGCCCCCCCCCCCCCTCCGCGCCCCCCGGAAGCCGCGCACCGAGGGTCGCTCTCGCAGAGGGGTCGCTCTTGCGTGCAGTCGAGCCTGCTCTGGAGCGTGCGGCGCCTTGCGGCCAATGACGACACCCTCGACCTGGAGCTGGAACGGCTGCGCGATCAGTGTCGCCGCCAGGCCCCTCTGCCCGTTTGCCTCGCTTTGGCTCCAGAGCCGCAGAAGGGCACCAAGGGCATCGTCGGTAAGTTCTTGCACCTTCCCCTGCGGCTCCCCTGCCTTGCCGCCCGCTGGCGCCGCCTGTGCGGGCTCCTGCCAGCCCGCCAGCCCAGGGGGCTCAGCAGCCTCGTCGGTGCACGGGGAGTCGGAGCCTGCGCGGGGCTCGTCCACCGGGGCGGCGCCTGGTCCACGCCGCACCCACGGCAGCATGCCCGGGGACGCCGCGAGGCAAGGCGGGGGCCAAAAGCCCTCTGGAAGCTCGAGGATGGCCCCGTTCGTCCGGATCACTTCGGCCCGCGCCCAGGCTTCCACTGACAGCGGGCTGCCTTCCTCCTCGCTGCTGCCGTCCGATCCGCAGCACAAGCTGGGATACCCCTGCTGCCTGGCGTCGACAGCGGGCGGGCTCCGCGGCTCCTGCGCGGCTTGGATGCGCTCCTCCTCGAGGTACCCCCTGGTGCCGCCCGCTGGCGCCGCCAATGCGGGCTCCTGCCAGCCCGCCGGCCCAGGGGGCTCAGCAGCTTCGTCGGTGCACGAGGAGTCGGAGCCTGCGCGGGGCTCATCCACCGGGGCGGCGCCTGGTCCACGCCGCACCCACGGCAACATGCCCGGGGACGCCGCGAGGCCAGGCGGGGGCCAAAAGCCCTCTGGAAGCTCGAGGATGGCCCCGTTCGTCCGGATCACTTCGGCCCGCGCCCAAGCTTCCACTGACAGCGGGCTGCCTTCCTCCGTGCTGGTGCCGTCCGATCCGCAACACAAGCTGGGATACCCCTGCTGCCTGGCGTCGACAGCGGGCGGGTTCCGCAGCTCCTGGAGCGCGTTTCTTTATGTTCGGCGATGACAGGCGTCATGGGGGGGGGGGCGGGGGGGGGTATGACGTGACGCCCCCCTCGCCGAGTGGCTCCGGCACCACAGCCGCGCCCGCGCGCACGACGCGACGAGCGAGGAGCGACGAGCGACGACGACGACGCGAGCAGCATGTAAGTGGCGATCTGCCCATTGCGCCTGTGTGCACCAAAGCGCTCGCATGCACCACGCCGCGCGTGTGCACCACAGCGCCCGCGTACACCGCAACAGCCGTGTGCAATGCACCGCCCGCGTATACCACAATACTTGGGAGCACTACAGCGCCGGTGTACATACACCGCAGCAGCCATGTGCAACACAACGCCTGTGTACACCACAGTGCTTGCGTGCACCGCAGCGCCTGTGCAGGCCACGGCGCCTGTCTACACCACAGCATCCGCGTGCAAAGCAGCGCTGGTGTACACCACAATGCCTGCGTGCACAGGACAGGTAGAAAAAAACATGTACGCCAGGATCTGCTGCGGACAACTAAGCGCCACGCCAGGAAAGTTCTGATAATCGAATACGGCATTTTTCCTCCCCCCCACCTCCTCCACCTCCTCTTCCTCCTCCTCCTCCATTTCCTCCTTCTTACCCCCTGTCGTGCGGCTTGGCGTTGCAACGCACGTGCGCATCTCAGCGTGCACCGCAGAATGGTCGATTGAATCGGTCCACTTGGTTTTCGGACGGCCAGTTTAGCTGGAGCCTCCTGGACGCAAATGAGAGTTAGGGTGATGCGGGCAGACTCGGGGGGACTCGCAGATTCCAGCGGCGTTCCTTTGTCCATGAGGATTTGTTTCCCATTGTTTTCTCTGGAATCCAAGCGCGCTCCATTTTGTCGCAGGGATCCCTTCTGAACTTCTATACACAACAATGGTTCTGTGTTGCACACGGTTGATGTGGTGCACACAGGCGCCGTGGCGTACACAGGCACTGCAATGCACGCAGGCATAGTGGTGTACACTGGTGTCGCGTTGCGCACGGCTGATGTGGGGTACGGAGGCGCTGTGGTGTACGCAGGAGCTGCTGTGCCCGCAGGCACGGTGGCACAAACTGCCGCTGTGTTGCACGCGGCTGCTGTGGTGTACATCGGCGGTTTGGTGTACACAGGCGCTGCGGTGCACGCGGGCGCTGTGATGTACACAGGCATTGTGGTGCATATCGCCGCCTACATGTTCGTGCTACCCGTCTTCCGTCATTCCTAAGCATTCCCACACGCCGCTGGCGCGAAACGTGACGTCATCGACCCCCTCCCCCCCAAATGATTGCCGTCATCGGCCCGGACTAAAAAAACGGGTTCCAGCCGCGTCCGCGCGCACGACGACAATGAGCGACGAGCGAAGAACCACGAGCGACGACGACGGACGACGACGACGACGACGACGACGACGACGACGACGACGACGACGACGACGACGACGACGACGACGACGACTTTTGCGGACCAGACACCTATGCGGACTCCTACGCGGACACCTACGCGGATCCCAATGCGCACGGCGGCAGTGCCCGGAGCGCACTGGGGGGGGGAACGTTACGTCATTAGGGGGGGGGGAGCGGGGGCCATGATGCCCGTCATGCCCCAAACAATAAAGAAACGGGCTCCTGCGCGGCCTGGGTGCGTTCCTCCTCGAGGTACTCCCTGGTGCCGCCCGCTGGCGCCGCCTGCGCGGGTTCCTGCCAGCCCGCCGGCCCAGGGGGCTCAGCAGCCTCGTCGGTGCACGAGGAGTCGGAGCTTGCGTGGGTCTCGTCCACCGGGGCGGCGCCTGGTCCACGCCGCACCCACGGCGGCATGCCCGGGGGCACCGCGAGGCCAGGCGGGGGCCAAAAGCCCCATGGAAGCTCGAGGATGGCCCCACTCGTTCGGATCACCTCGGCCGGGGGCGCGGGCTCCACTGGCAGCGGGTTGCCTTGCTCCGTGCTGCTGCCGCCCGATCCGCAACACGAGCTGGGATACACCCGCTGCTTGGCGTCGACAGCGGGCGGGCTCCGCGGCGCCTGCGAGGCCTGGATGCGCTCCTCCTCGAGGTACCCCCCGGTGCTCGCCAGCGGCTCGAACATACGCCTCAACGCCGCGGTAAGCTCCACCCGCGAACATGGCGCATCGACGGGGCCGCGCTCCTCAGAGCAGGCAGTTCCAGCGGAGCTGAAGAATGCATCTCCTGCTTCGAACGCCTCGCCCTTGGCCGCCGCTTTCTCGCTCAGCTCCGCCCGCGAGCGTGGCTCATCGACGGGGCCGTGCTCCCGAGAGCAGTCAGTGTCAGCGGGCCCGGGAGGCGCAGCCACGGCTGCCGCTTCTGCTCGCCTTCGCCGCTCGAGCCACCGCCTCGCCAGGGGCGCACCCGCGGGTGCCGCTTCGAGCGCCTCGTCCTCGGCCGCCCGCTTCTCGCCGTCGCCGCTGCTGCTCTCGGCCGCCTTGCCAGCCAGCCTCTCGCACGGCTCATCGCACGGCTCATCGCATGGCCTCGTGCTGACCTCCTTCGGCCGACGCTGAGGCCGACCCTCCAGCTTCACTGTTCGGCCTGATCTGGCGAGGGACCGAGGGCCCACTGACGAGCTGATGGGCACTGGTCGATCGCATCCTGTGCGCTTCTCTTCGACCGGATTCGCCCTCCACGCGGAGGATGCGATCCTGGCGCCAGGCCGGTACCATCTCAGGAGGCCGCTGTGGGCCACTTCGCTGATCACGCAGTAGAGCGACTTCCCGAATCCCCACCACATCTTGCCAGAAGGCTCGTCAGGCGTCAGAAGGAACGTCTTAGGACAACCATCCTCTGTCCTAAAAGTGCACGTCCAACGTTTGGTTGCGTCTGGGCGATGTGGCGTGCCGACCAGCACACGTCGTGCTCCTGTAGTCCTGCATCTGATGTGATACGTCTGGCCCGTGTCGTCTCTCCACTCGCGGCATAAGTGAGATCCGAAACCGGCGCCATGCTCGTCGCACGTGGCCGTGCTCTTGGACGCAGCAGTCCAGGAGTGCTCTGCCGCGCGTTGGCGCAGAGCTGGCTGCCAAGGCATGCTTATCGTGGACATGCCTCTCGCAGTCTGGTCAAGAAGCGCGAAAGGTACGGTACGCGCCCGACAGGAAGGCACTACTTGAGCTCAAAAAGGTACGTGTCGCGTCCCCGTCGAATCCCACCAACTCTCTGGGCGTAGGTGGTTTAGGGAGACTCACTCGTCGTGGGCATGTCTTGAATTACACTTCTTGAGCTCAGAAAAACTATGTGTCGCGTCCTCGCTTAATCCCACCAGCCATCTGGGCGCAACCCCCTTCTTCCCTTTCGGTGAAGGATTTACCCCTCCCCCCTGCCCCCTCCCCTGGACCCGGACGGCGGGGTTCTTTTCGGCCAAGATGGCTCAAGATAAACAAGATGCCTCAAGTCGGCTCCCAAGATGCTCCAAGAGGCCCCGATAACGCTCCAAGACGGTTCCATGAGGCCACCAAGAAGCCACAATCCTTCCAAAACCTATGGGACATCAGTGTGTTATTATTTCTCGCCTTTTCGCTTCCGATGGCCATCCGAGGCCTCAAAATGGCTCCAGGATAGCCGAAACGTGCCCCAAGAGAGGCCGAAGAGAGCCCCAAATCAGCCCCAAGAGCGCCCAAAAACGCTCCAAGAGGGGTCCAAGAGAGGTTCAAGAAACGATTTTCAGGGGATCCTGAAGGGGGAGGCTCAGTGCGACCATCCCCTTCTTTGATCGATGGCCTCCAAGATGGCCCCACAAAGGCCCGGAGAGGCGCCAAGGCGGCCCCAAGACGAGTCCAAGAGGCCTCCAAGACGCTCCCAAAAGACCCCCTGGAGGCCCGAAGAGGCTCCGCGAGGTACGCAACGAGGCCCCCGGGACCGCCAGGAAGCCCCGATGACGCCCCAAGAAAACCGCCAGTGTCCTCCTCCTCCTCCTCCTCCTCCTCGTCCTCCTCGTCTTGCTCTTCCTCCTCGCCCTCCTCCGCCTATTTCTCCCCCTCCCTGCTCCCTCCTCAAACTCCCCAACCCCCTCCTCCTCCTCCTCCTCCTCCTCCTCCACCTCCTCCTCCTCCTCCTCCTCCTCCCCTTCCTCCTCCTAGTCCTCCTCCTTTTCCTTTTTCTTCCTCCTCCTCCTCCTCTGTTCCCTCGTCCTTCTTCCCCGCCTTTCCTAATTCGGCAGGTCCGCGAAGGCGCGTAAAATTCGCCCCTGGGGCCGCACGGGACTCAGTCCGACGGCGTCCCCAACTGCATGATCCCCAACTTCCCGGATCAAGGCAACTCGCCTGGGCATCATGTGTGGATGGGCCGGTGGGGGAATATTTTTCTTGATTGCGAGCGACGCGGGGCCATCCGCGCACCGACGAGACGGTCGTAAGCAAGACGCGTGCCGAGCAGCCACAAGTGGGGCAGAGGAAAAGGGCAACGAGAAGGCAACAACGCGGCGGGGAACGGTGACGAACGAAAAACACACGAAACGAGCGAGGGGAGCGGAAGAGCGAAGAAGGACAAGGAAAACAATATATAAATACATAATGCAAGCCGCAGCTCAAACTCATACCAAGTAGTAGACGACCGCCCCTTGCCGAACTGACGGTTGTTGTAATAGGACTCGACGTACCCATACCAATGCACTCACATGGGATGCCGCGAGAGGCAAGAGACCACGGAGTGACCGCCGGCGGCGAGAGGAGCGTTAGCGTAAGGACTTGCAGACAACCGTCAACCAGGCCATCTCCAGGGCCAGCGTAGTCTAACAGCAAGGACGTCGCATTCCACAAGCCTCGGGAGGAGCAAGGGAACGAACTCGGCCGAAGTGGCAGCGTGCAGTTCCAGGACTCGAAGAACACCGAGTACCGAGGGTGGCTGGTGGGGATACGCGAACCCTCAAGCATTTAAATCGTCCACGGTGAGCCCAAAGCGTCCCAATCTAGGGACCATCAAGACAGTACGTGTCCGACAACACACATGAACATGCACCCTAATTCGCCAGGCCGCCCTCATGTCACGAGCGCTGGCATGGCGCGCTCTCTTTAAATCCACGTGGCTTCATGTACGTGTACGTCTACGTCTCGCTCCTCATGCCCATGCCCCAGAGAAGCAAAGAAATGGTTTGCATTCAGGGTATGCGACAAAACATGCTTCCAGCATGCCCCAAGAGACTCCAAACATATCCAAGCAGGAAGCGTCAGGGAAGGCCTCGGGCAAGGCGCTGGGAGGCCCAGCGCTTTGAGTTTGCTGTGCATGTTGGACGCGATGCTTCCCAATCAACTCGCTTAAGATACAGCCGTCGTGCTACCGTGGGGCACGCCACGTAAAGAACGAAGGAGCGCATTATGACAGTGAGCCTCGCCCACAAATAAACTCCCTAACCTGGATCTGCGGAGCGGCCCGGAAACCAGGGCCGCTGCAGAATCCAGTGTGGCCCTTCTTTCAGCGTCTTGCTTGCACTCTCGATTAACCGAAATCAGAGAAAACCGAATCGGAAAACCTGATCGCATCAGAATGTACACCGGATCGGACTGCATCGGCAGGGATTCGAATGTGAATTCGTTCGGCTGTGCCAGAACGCACATCAACGCAATGCAAACATCGGGCCACATCGGTCCGTCGGGATATCGGAATCGAATCGGATCGGGCCAGCCTGAATCGATACCTCACTGCACCGACCTTGCAGAAATGCTGCAAAAGATTTTTGCGCCCGCTCATCGTGTGTACGGTTTCGGAGTTGCGCGTGTTTGCCGTGTCATCTCACGCAGTGCTTGAATGCATGTGGGTATAGGCGCACAACGTACACGACACGTGGGTGCGATGTGTGCAGCAGTGTGCCGACGACGACTGTTCATGGTTATGACGATGGCTGGAACGACTGACGCTCATAGCTTCATTCCGGCGCTGCGGATGCATCGGCTCGTCCTCGGCCGAAACAGCAATTGCCGCAGACTGGGCTACCCGAGCTTGCAGGCGAAATCGTGGTCCCATGCGACATACCAATAGACAGAATCGGGTGTATCATGACACGGTACGTGTGAGTACCCTGAATGTGCAGACTTTCGACTGGACGCGCCTGGCCACTCAGGACAAACTCAGAGACCTCATTGAGTCCTCTGGGACCAAACCTGGATGATCACAGGGCTTACTGCGATGCATCACACAGCACGCCGCACTGGGGGGCGGCGGGGGTTGAGGGATGGACGCTTGTTCGTGGGCGAATTTGCTTGGCGGTGCCACGACGCCCCTGGCCGAGCGCCCCGCTCTTTTCCCCATAGCACGTGCTCAACCATCGAGGTGGATTAGGGGATATGAGAGAAGGTCGGACGACGCGGGCACGGACTTGCCGGAGGTGATTGCGGCATGCTGCGCCGCTTCACCTGATTTTTCTTTCGTTTTACCCCCCCCTCCCACCTGGCAGTTGGGGGTTGGGGCAGAACTTGTGAGCTTCTGTCATCGACATCATCCGCCCTGAGTGAGTGAATGAGGGAGATGTTTTCAATGAGTACATGTAGGTTGCAATCGAGCAGTGTGCAGTGCAAATGACAACGTGGGCACAAACAGCGTGGGGACGGGAAGGTGTAAGAAAATGGCATGTAGTGGGCGCAATATTGTTCTGTATTTGGGCTTCTCTACTCATGCTGTGGCGGTGAGTGTTACGTATCTCTCGCCGTCTGCGCTGGCTGCAGGAACAGCTGAACAGAGAAGACAAGTCAGAGAGTTGACGCGGTCTGTAGGGGAGGAATGGGGTGCCCATCATTGTGGACGAGGGATTGGCACGCGCAGTGCGGGGTCGATCACTGTGCGAACCAGTATATTGCTAGGAACAATCTTCTGGAAACACCTACGACTGTGGTGGGGCGAACTGTGACACGTGTAGTTTGACACACATTGACAGCATGTATCGCGTAGCACAACGGGGCACATGACGGCACGCGCCATCGGGGGCTTCGTATGCAAACGGCTTCGTTGCCGGGAGCTCGGCGGGCAGGAATAGATTCCTGGGCATCAGGACTCTTACAATACCATTTTCAAAACCACCGTGCCGAAGTGGTCACGGTCTCTACATCCAAGGTCTGGCACACGTGTGCGAGAGCAGCGCACTGCACGATTCTTGCCGTTGAAACAATAAAAGAAACCGCCCTCCCCATTCCTCTGCAAACGAACCGGTTGTTGGGGCCATCTTCTGGCGCCAAACAAGCGCGGCGACAATACGGAAACCACCTTCGGAAAGCCCTGGGGTTCGCTCAATCTCCAGAAGAGAACGAGCCCCACCCGCTCCCCGGGTCTACGCCTCACACGGCATGGCATATCTACAAACAACTCCCACGATCCGAAACATCCGAACCCCATTGCAAGTTGGGCGTCGTGCTCGCTCGGGCTATTGCTCCGCAAAGCTTGTCAAGTAGCCAGGAGAAGGGTTGGTGGGAAGAAGCGGAGGATCAGCAAACAACACTGGGGAATACACGGGACTACTACGAACGATGCAGTATTGCTCAGACGAGATTTCACCGACAATGCTCACCGAGGGGCAACGGGTGTACGTTCATTGCGACTCCACACTTGCCGCTGGCTCTGTGACAGGAGATACCGCAATGAGGAGGTGCACGGTGCTCGCGGCTGTCTTGGAAGACGCTTACCGTACAGCACAGCTTCGGGGGGGCTCCCACTCAGTCTGCATTGGGTCCATGGCCACACCGATGTCCACAGCAATGAATTGGCCGACAAAGCTGCCTCACAAGGAGCACGCAGAATTCATCGTTTCTGGCCCGGGGCCGAATTCAGCAGATTTGCTTTGCACTCCAGAGTGCTGTCCCAAGGACACACAGAGCCAGCCACGGAATACGACCGCCACGAACCTCGTACATGAGATGCTCTGTCCTACCTCATGCGCACAGCCGCGGAACGGACGGTGGGCAGAAGGCGAAATGAGATAGTGGGTGTTCCCTATCTCCCTCGTGATCTGGATATGGTCCGTCATGAGACGAGGAATGGCAGAAGGCCGTTGTTGCTCTGGGGCCCGCAGAGATGCGGTTTGCCAAGACGGCTCTGTCCTCTTCAAATACCGAACACGTGCCAAATGGGTACGTGATCGCATACGTGTCCTGTAACAGGCCGATGGCCATAGCAATCTCAGAACCATCAATTCCACGATGGCATGCATGGGACTTGCTGACGCAGTGGGCCACGACTGACGGGCCGGACAGGGCTTCACAGTCGAAAAGGCCAAAGGCCAGGTATGCAAACTTGGTGAGACTCCCAGAGAGGCACCGATCGACGTGCGCACCCACGTACAACCCCGACCGACTCAGGAACGTCTGGGCTGGCGTCCGGCTATGGACGAAGAGCGGACCGCCCTACTGGGCATGAAGCGACGTGCAGCCAGCACTGACGAGATCATCAATATTCTCTTGACAGCAAGCGGCCCAAAACTCCTCTACGAATTAAGCGTTGCCGTGTAGCACATTTGGGATCAACCGCCAGACTAGTGGAGCCACCTTGCATGTGAAGTGTACGGCGTCATGCTCTTCAAGGGTAAAGGAGCCAGAGCGACGTGACGAAATATCGATGCATCATGATAATCTCACTGGTCGCGCGTGTGATCGCTCGCAACATAGCGCAGCGGTTGGCTGCATTTGCTGAACGGGAAGACCGATTCCTAGGCAATCAATACGGCTTCCGGCGACGTCGTTCGGTTTTTGGTCCAGTCATGATTCTCACGATCCTTCCGGAGATGGCTGCAAATGTGTCTCCAGCGTGACCGTCTCATGGCCATCTTCGCTGACATCGAGACAGCGTATCCGAACACCGTGCGTGACGTCTTGGAATTCATCACCGTGCTTTGCACCTCCTGGAATCGCTACCGAATCTGGCATTGTCTCGCATCGGAGAGAAAAAAAACGGGTACTCCGCCTCATTCCGGCTCTCCCGTGGCCTTAAGGAAGGGTACCCTGCAAGCCCGATTACGTTCAATTTGCTGCACTCACAGATCATTCGACATTTTGAACAAGAGGCGGCGCAAGCTGGCTTCGGCGTCAGCGTGGCCGATACCACTGAAACCCTACACAATCGCCGGCGCAGAAGCCAGCAAGCGCCGCCTCCCGAAATCACAGCGCGCCGATTGCTCACATTGTTGTTTGCCCACGACACTCACATTCTCACCCGCTTTCATAAACAGCGGCGTTCGCAAGGACTATTGGAACGTGTTCTGCTGGAGCGGGGCCTCAAGGTGAACCAGACCAAATGCGAACGCCTCATGGACGGCACAGACCATGGGCGAAACGTCCCTGCTCGCTTTCTTGGTGCAATGCGCCGGGGTGAGGGCGACTATTGCACAGACACCACCACGCGCCTCAACAAGACTAAACTACAACCTCTTCAAGCGAATGCCAGAGTGGGAGCTATCCGACAAATTATTTGGGGGGGCAACTCATACAACGACTGTACTTAACACGCGGAACTTCGGTTGCGAAGTCCGCCTATTCTCGGCCAAAGAACTCTGCTCGTACGACGTCTTGGGGAATCGGGTGGTTCGCGGAACGTGCTGGCAGAAGATCCGAGAGATGCACGAGGATCGCGTTACGATGGCGGATCTACGACGACGGTTGAGAGTACCTACGGTTAAGACGGTCATCGAAATGAGACATCTCAAAGGTTGGGCGACGTTGCACAACTCCCGGCGGAGCGTTTGGAACGACCAGCATTATCGTGGATCCTGGTTCCAGAATGTTCTCTTCCACGCCGCACTGGACACCGACCGTATCTACGCCCATGCTACGCTCTGTTGGCTTCGCTCTGTCAAACTGCTCGTCGACGAGCCTCGTTGTGAAGGGGCCCTGGGACACACAATGAATAGACACAAATAGCAGGACTCCCCAGATCTGCCCATGTCTTCTTGGTTTTTGTCTTCCCCCCCACTCCCCATATTTTCCTAGGATTCCTGGGAATCGACGATTCATTGTGTCTGTGCGTTTTTCCCCCTCCTGACTTTGTGCAGCCTGGCCCGCAGCCTGGGTCGAGGCCGACAGGCGCTCGCGGCACGTGGCGTGCTCTCTGCAATGCCAACGGGAATCCACTGGAGAACATGGCTTGGAGCCCGTTGGGGGTCCGAGAGGAGGAGGAGGGGGAGGAGGAGGAAGAGGAGGAGGAGGAGGAGGAGGAAGAGACGACGGAGGAGGAAACGGAGGAGGAGGAGGACGAGGAGGAGGACGAGGAGGAGGAGGAAGACGAGGACGAGGAGGACGAGGACGAGGAGCCTGGATGGCTTGGAGCCCGCTGGGTGTCCGAGTCGGGGGCGGCCAAGGCTCATGTTGCTCCCATCGTCCTTGAGGACCACATTCTAGAAATAAGTTCGAGCGCCCAGAAAAGTGTCGAAGCAGTATCGAGCGAGTATCTCCTGCCAGAGCCCGAAACGTGAAAACCCTCCAATTACGGTGCTTTCTTGGTACTCGATAGTACTTCTAGTGATCTGGGCTAAAGTAGGTTGGAACTTCACAAGCGCAAGGAGAGACCTGGGAGCAGAAGCATCGACGGCTGGACCAGGAGGCGTCGACCAGAGCAGCACGGATAACTACATTGGACAGCATTGTCCTGGACGAGCGCGGTGTTGGTACACCGGTCTTCTGTCACATGCTCACGTGGACATGATGGTGGCCACGTGCAAGTCCCGGTACCACTCGTATTAAGTCGGGCGTGTCCCCCTACAAGGGGGCTTGTCGACGAAAAGTAACAACTACTCAAGCAATACTCCAGAATGGTCACAGAAATAATCAAACAATAGTCCCCGGACTGTTTTCTTTGACTATTTTGAATATTGCCCCTGTAGAGGGACAGGCTCGACTTAAAACTCGCATGACGAGACCAATCCACGGATCTTCACGCTGTCGGTGCGGCTGGGTGTGGACCGCCACGCAAGTGCCAGCGTGCAGAAACGCATCCGGCTGGCGCACGAGGCTCCGCGCCGGAAGCCAGACCCGGCGGCGGTGGGCAAGGATGAAGTCGCAACCCCCTTAGATTTGCTACACTGCCGTACGCATGGTATGGCGCCCGCTCCCTCGCCCCACTTCTATCTCTATCGCTCCTCCCACACGATGCATAATTTTTTCTCCTATGGATCCATGGAGCCTGCATCAAAAGATACAGTTGCGAGCATCGTGGCTGTGTGAGAGGCACTCGACGGGACCTTGGCTACTGTGGCGGGAGAGACGGGTTCCCGCACGCATAGCTTTTTTGTACGCAGCTGAAATTACGTGCATTGCTGGGACAGGTGCCAGCAAGTTGGGCGCCGGCGTGCCGCTGTGGTGTGTTACGACCCCACTCGTAGTAGATGATTTTTGTTGCCTCACGCCCGACGGGGTTTTCTTCCACAGTGTCTGACGCATGGGTGACGCTATACCTCGGGATGTGATCGAAGCGGAGGCACCCGCCTACCCTGCCGCGCACGCCCCAGGGCGGAAAGCGGGCTGGCGGGCGAGGGTGCCCAGACAAGGCGACTCCGACCGCGCCCCGACGTACCAAGGGGGCGTCCGGAGCCCCTGCTCCACCGGGCGTTGCTTGTGATACGTTTACGGAATGTGCCCAGTTCCCAGGGAACAGCAGCGGTCACGTGGTGCGCTTGCGGGTAGTCTCACATCGTGCTTCTCACGTTGCACACCGCACCGTGCAGTACTGCATTCCGTTATCCATGCTGCACACCACATGTTGTATCTTGCCGCCTAGTACGCGGTCGAACGACACATCGGCTCAGCCCAGGACCCTCTTGGAATGCAATTCCCGTCTCTCTTCAGGTAGATCGTTTGTTTGCAAGCTGTGTCGCATGAGATGTCGGCTCAGCAATATCAAGCATGCAAGCCGCGCAAGTGGAACCACTAACTTACATCACAGAAAACCAGATCAATGGATGATGATTTTTGCGCTGGTGCCTCAATCGGCTTCCATATACGTCTCGTCCAGTCAAGATATTTTCCAATCCCCTCTCTATATAGGTAAATGTACATCTATACATCTATAGGTGTATGTACACATGTGCTCTAGTTCACACTCTCTATGTGATGTGGTTATTACATGCGTATCTATGTATACATACAAGCGTACAGGCACACACTCATATGCATATATACATACATGCATACATACATATGCACACACATACATACATATTTACATACATTCTGTTAGCACAGATTGGGCGCCAGCCGTGGCGCCGCTGTCTCTTGAAAAGGCACCCGCCGAAAGGAGAGACGGCCAAGGGACCGGGGCGCCAGGGCCAGAGACCCAGGGGCCCAGGACGGCCCAGGACCCAGGGAGAAGAAAGAGCGGCCCAAGCCCCCGCTGAGCCGTCGGCGGCACGCTCACGCGAGGAGGCAGCGGGTGCGCCCCGCGCGGCCTCGCCGTCCGCCGCTGCCCCAGCCCCGCGGCCGAGCGGGCGCCCCAACCGAAGGGCGGGCGGAGGCGAGGCGCCCCGACGGCGTGCCTCGGCAAGCGCGGGCACGAACCGCCCGTCGGTGGCCCGCCCGCCGCGCCCATCAACCAGCCTGCGGATCACGTCCATCAGCGCTGGCCCAACCACCCATGAAGGCTCCGATGAAGCCCTCCTGGCGGTGCGGTGCCCAGCAGATCCTCGCTGCCGACCTTGATCGTGGCCTTCTTGAACGTGGCCGCGACCTCGGGCACCCCCACCGCCACGCACACTCGGGTGTGCTCCTTGTCGCACATGTCCTTGACCTTGACATACTTGAAGCTGGACATCGTGAACTCCTTGTCGCTGACCTGAGCGTGGAGCGCCTTCACTGGCCCCTCCAGGTCGGTGCCCGTCACCTCCGCCGCGCTGGCGAGGGGGCGCACCGCCGACTCCACAAGGTAAAGCAGCGGCGGTCCCAGGCCGTGCTGCGTGGGGCTCTTGCCGCGGCACATGTTGCTGAAGTTCTTGCCCGCGTCCTTCGCGTTCTTGATCATGTCGTTGTCGATCGGCACCTTGAACGCGATGTAGCAGGCCGACTCGAGGCCGCGGATCTGGAGGTCGTGCGAGAGCACCAGGCGCGCCATCGAGGCCATCATTTCCTCGAACTCGTGCTGCTGGCGGCGGGCGCGAGGCTTCGCGGCGGCCTTGGCCCTGCCTCGCGGCTGGGGGGCCGCCTCGTCCTGGTCCTCCTCGCCCCCGCGGCGTGGGCCTCCTGCAGGGCGCTGACGAACGCGACGGCCGCCTGGCGGCCCCCCCTCCACCACGCGGGCCCCGTCCTCGGCCACGGCTGGCGCGCCCGCCAGAGCCCGGGCTGGCGCCCGCGGCGCGGCCGCGGCTGGCGCAGCCGCCGAGGCCAGCATGGCCACGAGGCTTCGGGGGCCGCGGCGGCAGCAAAACACGTCTCCTTCCTGCGAAATGCACTGAGAGGGAATGGCTGTAGTGGTGCTCCAGCGTCGGGGACAGCTCGCCGCACACAGGACATCGAATATCGTCTGGGACCGACAACTTCGGCGCAGCGCACGCCAGCCCTCCCCGACAGTGCCCTCGAGCAAGAGCGAACCTGACGTGCTGCGCAGCCGAGGCCCTAGACGTCATCACCGCCCCGCAGAACCCACGCTGATTCGACGCGCACAAGGATGGCTCGATCGCCCGATACTTGTGAGAGCTGATTTTGCGCCACAGCAGAGCTCGCTCCGAGCAGAAGGCGGCCCCGCACAGGCCCTCAGCGCAGGGTTCCTGGCACGCGAACTCGAAATCGCCGATGTCAATGAGGCCGGGCGGCTCACGTGCAGGGCGAAAACGGTCGCCATGCAGTGTCCACCAGCGATGCCGCACGGCCGCGGACGGCGGGCACCGCGCCGCCCATCCGCGGACCCGGAGCACACGAGGGTCGAGCTGAAGGACCTCGTCGCGCGGCGCACCCTGCAGCGATCGCCCCACACCTCCAGCAGGTCCACGCGCTCCGACGCGTGCAAGAGCCGCGCCAGGTCGCCCACCAGCAGCCTCGCGAGCGCCGAGGCCCCCTCGCCCGAGCGGCCGTCCTCGCCCAGCACGGGCTGCAGCGCGAAGGGCAGCTGGCCGAATAGCGCCGTGAGCTCCATCTCGTGGCCCCCAGGGTGGCGCACCATGCACTTCATGAACCCGAGCCTCCCCGCCCGCAGCTCGGTCTCGATGTCCGCCATCTGCAGCAGCTGGCGCACGACCTGGGAGGGCATGGCCCTATGCTGGTAACCCTCCTCCTCCAGGAAGCCCCTCAGCACCCGCGCGCCCAGGGCCGAACGGCCCAGGCGCAGCGCGCCCCCCCCCCCCCCCAGGGAGGCCAGGAAAGGCTGCGCGGGCACGACCGCCGCCGTCCCCGAGAGGAGGGCCCCCAGCACCTTAGAGCGGAAGACCTGCCGCACCACCTCAACGGAGGCCTCGGCCTTCCAGAAGCGCCCCATGTCCGCGACGCCCCGCGTGGCCGCCGCCACGCGGGCCCTGATCTCCGTCGCCGGGCCGCTCTGGCAGTGCAGCATCGGGCCCAAGTAGCGGGCGACCGTTGACTAGTTGCCCCTCGCGCCGAGCCTGCCCGCGAAGAAGGCCCTCGTCCAGGCCCTGGCCCCAACCCCACGGAAGGCGCACATAGCGCACTGCTTAGAGATGTTCTGCTGGAACCCGCGCGGCTCCAGCAACCTGTCCAGCAGGTCGTCCGAGGCCTTGTGATTCTTGATCACCGTGTCGTGGCGCCACGAAACGAAGCGCTTGCAGAGGTCATCCGCAAACTTCGCGAGGCCGAGGTCCAGCGCGGCGCCCGCGACGACGGACTTCGCCTCCAACAGCTGCGCGTCGGGCCGACCCGAGTCCTCGATGGCCCACTCGGTCGCCACCGGTGTGAACACCTCGAGGAAGAGCGGCGGGCCGATCGAGTCGCCGATGAGCACGCCCTGGTTAGTCTTCATGCGCAACACCCCTCGGCAGTCTCGACCTCACAGTGGTAGTCGAAGACCCTGCGCGCCACAATGGGGTGATCCTCCGCGCGCGCCAAGCCCCCCAGGCCCCGCATCATGTCGCCCGCGGGCGGGCACTGGAACGCCTTGCTCAAGTCCTTGAAGCTCGCGATCGCCGCGAGGCCGAAGTGCGCCGCCCGCTCGGCCACCGCCGCGGTGACCGCCAGCGCCCCATCCCGAGAGCGCCCCGGGACAAAGCCGAAGTCATTCGGCGCCGCCTTCTCCTGCTCAGCCCTCGTCGTCAACAACGTGGCGAAGCATTTGCCGATGGTGCGCATCACGTGGGTGACCCTGCCGATGTCCGCCGCCCTAGACCTGGGCCGCGCCAAAGGGGCAGCCTGGAACGCGCGGACGAGGGCCAGGCAGTGCAGCAGCCGCTCCCTGAACGCATCCATGCTCGGGGGCTCCGACCTGTAGCCGATGCCCTCGCCCTGCGCCGGGGCCGACCTCGGCGCCGAGCACATCCTCCACGCTGGCACAGGCGCCGACCACGGCGACGCTGCGCGACGAGGCTGCGCCCCCCTGCGCAGGCGCTCCTCCAGCTCCTTCAAGCCCAGCGCCGCCGCCTCCTCAGCCTCCCGCGCCGAGCAGCGCCTGACCAGCGGCTGCCTGAGCTGCTCCAGGTACGGCCTCGAGTCCAGCTCCGTCGCCGCGTGCCCCCCCGGGCGCCCGGGGCCCGCGAGGAGCTGGCGCCGCGCCGCCGCCGCGTGCTCCAGGCGGCGGGGTGCGCAGTGCGCCCGACGCCGCGTGCCCTTCCCCCTCTCGCCGAGCAAGTGGGCCAGCCTCCAGACCGTGGCCGCGTCGCCCACCCTCTCCGCCTCCGCCGGCGCCTCGCAGCGCGCCGCGCGGGGCCGCCTGCGCTGCTGCCGCTGCAGCGGCGGGTGGCGTCCCTGAGCTCCTGCACGCACCTCTCCACCTCGGCCTCCGTCGATGTCGCCGCCTCACCCTCGACCACATGCCGACGACGAATGGCCGCCCGCTCCTGCAACAGCTTCTTGCGCTGCGCCGTCGCCTCATCCATCTCCCTCGTGTCGCGCGCCTTGACGCCGACGTGCGCCAGGCCCACCTCGCGCACCGTCTCCACCAGCTCGTCCCACGCCTCGTCGGGCCCCAGCTCGTCCTCCAGCTGCGGGCGGACCAGATGCTGGCACTGGCACTCCAGCCCCCTCAAGAACTCCCTCTTGCCCTGGTGGCGCTCCATGGCCTGCGCGCGCGCATCCATGTCCCACTGCGCCCTCTCAGCCCTGGGGAGGAGCTCGGGATGCACAGGCGTGATCATCACCGACAGCCCCAACGGCGTGCGATCCCTCCCTCCTCTCGCTCGGATGGCCTGCATCCTGTCGCCGATCGCGTAGAGCGGCTTGCAGGGCCCCGCGCTCTGCATGAGCTCGCGCGGGATCGCGATCGCATCCGGCCTAGACCTGGCCCCCGTGTGGCCCGAACAAAGTTTAGCCCTCGTAGAACGCGTTGACAATGGCGAGCCCCCAGCCCTCGCATAGCCGCCTCCACGCCGCGCCAGACTCGTGCTCCAGCGCGGGCTCGACCCCTCCTATAGCCTCCGACAAGGGCACGCAGACCCCCGCCTCATGCTTGACCATGCCAAGCCCGTCGTTGAGGCCGGCGCAGAGCAGCGGCGCGCGGCAGGCGGGGGTCTCCATGAGGCACCGCTGCGCCCACGTGAAGGGAGTTTCCCCCGCCGCCCGCTGGACCGCCAAGCCTCTCACAGGGAAGTAGAGGGCCAGCGCCGGGGCGTCCAGCGCCCCGCGCCGCAGGCGCGCACCGCCGCCGCGCCCCCGCAGGGCCGGCGGCGGCGACAGGAGCTTCAGCACCTTAAAGCCCTCCTTGAAAAGATCGAGACCCCGCGCGCCATGTCGGCGCGCCCGCCTCGACCCCGCCCCCAGTGCAGGGCGTCGTGGTTCGGCGGGGTCTGCTTCGAGACGCCCCCGCCGCCGCTCCACTTCATCTGTGTGCCCTGCAGCGCCGCGATGTCGTAGCGCTCGAGCACTTGGCTGATCTCCTCCGATGGGAAGCGCCTGCACAGTGAGAGCGGGTTGTAGCTGACCAATCGCATCGGCTCGCCCCCAAGCAGGGGAACCAACCTCAGCGCGCCAGGGGCCTCGCGCAAGAGGGAGGCGATGGCGAAGACATGGCGCAGCCCGATGGCGCCGTGAGCATCTTGGCGTCGCGGCCCGCCGGGCCTCTGAGCAGATGTGCGACGCTACTTACATACATGCATGCATGCGTACACATATATCTCTATATATATATATATATATATATATATGTACGCGTTATCCTTCCCTCTCTTCATTTCTCTCTCTCTCTCTCTCTCCTTTTTTTTTGTTTCTCTCTCTCTCTCTCTCTCCTCCGCCTCTCTGTATCAAGTGTTCGGTTCTCTCTGATTCTAACTATATTATTGTTTTTGTTTTTCTCTCTCTCTCTCTCTCTCCCTCTCTCTCTCTCTTTCCATATCGGAGATTGGGGGGGGGTGAGATCGCAAGAACACGGAAACCCCGCCCCCGCTGGAATCTCCGTTTCGGATTCACATTCGTGTCGCGTGTGCGGGGGAGGCGAAACTGCGCGGGCGTGCGAAACGAATGAACCCGCCGTTGCCAGGGCGAAGCCGAACCACCAGTTGCTGTCCTCCGGGTTGGCCAGCAATGGTCCTGTGGTGCCGCCGATGGTGTCATGATGGTATCCCGATGTGTTCCCGATGGTGTTCCGATGGCCGTCCGGCGGTGCCCCGCGGTGCCCCGTCGCGTGCCGTGGCGCGGGGTGTTCTGTGCTAACATGTACTACGCTATGCTATGCTTGCGATCGTGAAATCGATGGTTCGATCGATAGTGGGATCCATGGAGTGGGATCAAAAGTGGTAGTCATCGTGAGATCGATAACTGGTGACATCGATAGCGAGATTGGTAGTGCAATCGATTGAGCGAGATCGATCGTGAGATCGATAGTGAGATCAATCGCAAGAGCGAGAGATCGGTAGTGATATCGATTGAGTGGGATCGAAAGTGTAATCGATCGTGAGACCGATCCTGTGTTCGATAATGAGATTGGTAGTGAGAACGATTGAGTGAGATCGATAGTGAGAGCGAAAGTGAGATCGCCAGTGAGATCTGTAGGGATATCGATAGTGATGTCGGTAGGGGGATCGATTGAGTGACGTCGATAGTGAGATCGATCGTGATATCGATGATGACATCGATGGTGAGACAGATAGTGAGAACGATCGTGGGATCGATCGTGAGCTCGTTCGTGAGATCGATCGTGAGATCGATGATACGATCGATAGTGGTATCAATAATGTGATCGACAATGAGATCGATAGTGATATCGATAGTGACAACGAGAGTGAGATCGGTAATGATATCAATTGGATGAGGCGGGTGGTAAGGTCGATCATCGACAATGAGATCGACAGGGGACCCGGGCGCTCGGGAAGCAACAAATTGAACAGGGGGAACCCGGCCGCCCACCGAAATCGGCGCGGAACCGGCAACCTGGAACGGGGGAACCGGGCGCTGGGATACGGGGGACCTGGCCGCCCACCGATAACGGCCGGGAGCTCTCGACAAATCTTTGAACCGCTAGGGCCCCTTCAGTGCAAGCGCTGGCTGGGGAATCATCTCGGCCACTCGGCGAGAAAGACGCTCAACGCAGAGGAATGTACTCTCTGTCTGTGTCCCGCAAAACCTAAAACACCGCGATGCTTACATCGGGCTCGACTTCTGGAGGGGGGGGGGGGGGGGCAGCGGGGTATTTTTTTCGACGGAGCTTGCCAAGATGTGATATTGTCAATCGCGTTCCCCGCTCATGCAAGTGCGAGGGATGAAGAAACATTGCCAGTGCGAGGAGGGAGGAGGGAGGAGGATGAGGAGGAGGAAGGAAGGAGGAGGAGGAGGAGGAGGAGAAGGACGGGGCGCGTAAGCCCTTCGGAGAAACCCTCCACCGCCGAACGCTGCCCCCCGAGCTCTCCGCCGCACGAAGCCGGGCCCCTGCACCCGAGGCCCTCCCCGTAAGACCAGCCAGCTCTCCGCTCCGAGCCGCCTCTCGACAGCCCCGAGGCCCACGGAGAGTCGACGGGGCCCGCGGACTCTCAAAACTTCGAGGAACAACCTGCACAGACATAAACTTTTGCTCCCGGACTTCTTGCCTCGGCGCTGGACTTATGTCGGGCCTGCCCCCCTACAGGGAGACTGTCGGCGAACAAATAAAACTACTCGAAAGAGACTCCCCAAGGGCGACTTCATAGTCACAAGATCGTCCCCGGCCAATTTTTGGACTATGTTTGCCTATTCCCCCTGCAGAGGGACAGGCCCGACGTAACGCTGGACCCCTCTCCCTGACGTGCGGGACGCGCCAGACGGCGGCGCCGGAGGCGCCTCCAGGGGGGGCACAGCGCCGACCCGAGACATCCTCGCACAGCTCTGGACACCGGTCTTCGCGAGGCGTCTGTGCCCCAGAAAGGATGTTACAGAGCTGTGCGAGGATGTCGTTTGTACCTTAGACATGGCGACCCTGCCATCCTCAGACATGGCTGTCTGCCATCTTTAAAAAGGTCTTCGTGCGGCGTCTTTTCTTACATGGGCGAGAGCGGCCCAGACCTTTGAGGGCCCGCTTCCCGAAGGACGCCGCCATGTTCTCGGGGCATGGCTCGGGCCTGCGATGGCCCGTGGGAGTGCTTCGGGCACCCGGGGAGCCCCGAGGCGAACAAAAGCACCCAGTGACTGACGAACACGCTCAGACACCCCCTCGCCTCAGAACGCGAAGACAACCCACAACCTCGAATACGCCGTTTGCTTGAAAGTCCGAACCCACGGCCGAACCGCGCTTTGGACGCCCGGAAAGGGTACGGAAGCATGGGCACGATTCCTAATCACAAACGTGGGCCAAGAACGACCGCGGCCGATGTTGGGCAGGCGGCCTTCTGTCTGCGGCGGCACCGGCAGTGGGCCCACTTCAGGGTGGACAAAAACTGATGTGAACCTTCGTCCCGCTTCTTTGCGTATCCATTTCTCGGGCCCGACGAAAAGGGGGTGATGAAGGGCGGGTTCGCGAACCAATTCACGTAGCTGATTCTCCCGATCCCTGCGACGGAAGCAGATTTCGCCCCCCCCCCTCTCCCCATCGCACCCTCTCGTCCGATCCGATCCTTGGGCCCCTCCTGGATCTCCTCGGTGATTCTCACAACGTGTGGACGCCACCGCGTGTGTGTCCACCGGAGCCCGTCCACGCGGCGCGGACGGTGTAGTGAGGGCCGACGCAGTCAGGCTGTGTCTGATCGACAGAGCCGAACGGGCACACTTGGACCACCGCTGGGGTAGATAAGGGAATAGGGGGTTTGAAACGGATGCCAAAAAGAGGTGTACCTGGCCTGGCCAAGCCGTTGAGTGGGTTGCAGGTGCTCTAGGCGGCTTGCGGGGGGCAGAGGTCTGGGCTAAGTGGGCGGAGTCATCTTAGCAGAGCTACTTGACCCCATGTAAACCACTGCGTGCATGTGTAGTGCTTCCTCCCCCCACAGCTCTGGGCTTGTCCTGGTCCAGGGGTGTCGCTCCCTCCTCTGCCTCCTGATGCCGTTGCTTTCCCCGGTCGTCCACCTTGGGGGGCCTCATGGCGAGGGGGATGCGCATGCACAAGTTTTCCGACACGCCCTGTCCACAGAGATGGCGACGATGGGGTGCTCGTACACGGCGTGTTTTTTTTGTCTCTGTCTCTGTCTCTGTCTCTGTCTCTGTCCCTCCCTCTCTCTCTCTCTCTCTCTCTCTCTTTATGCCAAATATAACCCACATTGACAGGACTAAACACGTACCCATACCCACAGGGGGGTGACCCGCGCCTAGCGACTTGAAGCCGCACTGTGAACCACAAGTACGGGTGCGGGTGGTCGGTCCACGAAGAGGGGGTCCCGTTCGAGTGGGGACTACCATCCGACAACAAGCACTTGCATCCTCATCCTTGCAGATGTCCACCCCGACAATCCTGGGGGTCGTATACAATCAACCCGTATCGTGAGAATGCGCGGGAAGGATGCAAGGCCCTGGAGGCCCATGCTAACGTTTTTCGAACGAGGCTGGCCAGCGAACGTCGCTAAGGATGGGCCGAAGGGGCAAGGATGCAAGGGTGCCCTTGGGAAGGTTGTCCATCCTTACTATGCAAGTTGACTGTAGGTATGGGTGCTGCTTGCTCAACTCATGAACAAGGCCTCCCAGGCGGCCCGAACGTGGGACAACGAGGGGAGGGCACAGTGCAGGCGCGGCCGCAAGAAACCCTCGCAAGAAACCAAGCCCTGAAAACCCGCGCGCGAGGTGCGTCTGAGGGGAAGCCCAGACCACCCTGAACGCAGCAGCTTCTTCAATGGCTGCGGGAAGTCGCCGCGCA